CGCCCCCGCCCGTCCACAGCCCCGCCCCTGAGCCGCCATTAGCCTGCCTCCCTCAAGCCCCGCCCCACGCTCTCCCCGCCCCCTGCCCTGTATTCTAGTCTCTATTGGCTACATTGTTCTCTCATCGGTTCCGCCTTTCGGCGGGCCCTCTTGCCCTCTCCTGCATTTCCATTGGTCCTTTGCCCATACTTGCCCAGCCCCTTTACCCGTCCTCCCGCCCAATAGCCAAGTGGCCCCCCCCTTCCACACGCAGATCCCGCCCCCGATCCTTTATTGGCTCACCAGCAGTGGCCCCGCCCATTCCCTTGCCTTCCAGAGTGAAGGGTAGCGGCCCGGAAGGCCCAAGAGCCCCTATCCCTACACTGGTGCGGAGGGTGCATATGGCCCCGGAGGTCGCATGTGGCCCCGGAGGCCGGAACTCTGGCTGCGTGTGCAGCTGCACTTCAGCTCACGTTTTGGCTCGTTGGTTCGACCATTGCACATTTACTTAAGGGGTCTACCCTGTCGGCGATGGGCCGGCCTCTCAGCAGCTGGCAGCCCAGTCCTGGGCGCCGCTCAAGGGAACTGAGTAACCTGTATGTACGACGGGCATGATCTGGATTCAGAGGCTGGCTCATTCACCTGCGGGTGTGTGATCTTAAGCAAGTCGTTTAACCTCTCTGTGCATCAGTATCCTCATGCGTAAGAGAGAATAGTAGGGATAGTGAGCGTACGGTGCTCAGAGCAAGGCTTGATACCTAAGCCACTAAAGCACGTGTGTAAGGCCTTGAGCAGGTGAGTTATGTCTTTTCTTAACCCCTGAGACAAAGGTGGTGCGCGGTAGTCCAAGCACCTGCCCGGGAAGGCCAATGGTGGCAGGCCTGTGGTTCCTATGGGGTAATCCTCAAGTGGAGAAGGGACTCAGGTTTGGTGGTCCACATCTTTAAACCCAGTACCCTAGGAGACTGAGGCAGGAAGATGACAGATTTGAGCCCAGCCTGGGCAATTTACCAACTTATCAAGACTGTTTCAAAATAGATAAGAAGGGCTAGAGATGTAGCTCAGTAGGAAGGCCCTGGGTTCAATCCTCAGCACGTGTATGCACGCGCGTGCACACACACACATACAGTCGAGGTGAGAGCAGCCTGATACAGAGGGTAGACAAACAGTAAATGCCCAACCCAGCTGCCTCCGTCATCCCTCTACCCAGAAGCAGGAGGTGAGTCCTTGTGGTTTTGTCCCACCACCGCTCCGTGGGTACACAGGCCTGCCTCACAGGCAGGGGAGTGGCTGCCCAGTAGGCCTTTCCTTCCATGCTTGTCTGACTGCCTTGACACGCCTGTTTTCCTGTGATAAGGCCCTGGGGCATGAGGCCTCTGTAAGCAAGGCTATGATTTCCGCCCTCTAAATAACTTGGGGACACCACCCAGTTGGGAAAGAGTGCCATTCTCAATCCCTGAAGGCTGCAAGGCCAGGACAGCAGGGTTGGGGCTCAGGCTCCTCTTTTCCAGTGCAGCCAAGGCTGTTGGGACTGAAGGGCAGAATGAAGCCCCCTTTACCCCATGATCAAGGCTACTTCCAGGAGGAGGTTGATACCTAACAGGGTGAATCCTCTTCCCTGGCACCAGGTGACTGCTGGCTGTGAACAGATAGACTAGGCAGGACTCCCATCCCCAGCCCAATCTGGCCTGGGCACCTAGCCTGTCCCCTCCCTTGCATGATGGGGACATCCCCTGCCCCTGCCCCACTGACTCTGGCCTCAGGGTTCTCCAGCCTCAGGTATGAGCAGCAGCAGAGACTGTCCTCACGGACAGGGAAGTTTCTGGTTCCTCTTATTAACAACAGTTCTCCTGGCCACAAAGAGAGCCCCAGTATCTTTGCTTTGCCCCAACTCCAGTGCCCTAGCAACAGCCCAGCTCTGCCACAACATAGTCATGAAGGTCTTGGATGCAGGAGTTCCTCACAGAGTTTCCAGAAGCCTCACAAAATTGGGCAATTTTTTTTTTTTTTTTTTTTTTTTGATGAAGCCAGAGAGTCTGGCCATCATGTGAAATGATAACTCAGGTGTGGTAGGGTTGAATTCTGTCCTCCAAAAAGAGATTTTCAAGTCCTGATTCCTGGCACCGGTGACTTTGTTTGGAAATAGCTGTAACCAAGTTAAAATAAGGTCACATGGTATTAAGGTGGTGCCAGTCCCAAACTGGGTGTAATAACAGCACTCTGGGAGGCTGAGACAAGAGGATTGCCTATTTGAGCCCAGCTGGGTTACTTAGACCGTCTTAAAATAAAAATTAAAATTAACAATTTTTTAAAAAGCAGTGTCTTTCTAAGAAAAAGAAATTTGGACACAGAGGCTTGGAGATACAGAGACTCAGAAGAAACCTTTTGATAATGGGACCAGAAATCAGAGTTATGTGTCTCCAGGATAAGGATGATCAGAGCCAGAAGCTGGGGAGAAGTCTGAGAAGTTCCAGAGCCTGCCTTGATCTTGAATGTCTGGCCTCCAGAACTGTGAAACTATACATTTGTACTGTTTAAAGGTACCCGTTTGTGGTACTCTGTCACGGCAGCCAGGAGAGGAATACATGGGACTGCCCAGAGCAATGAGCTTTGCAATGAGGTGGGGCTAATTATTGATTAATATTCACAGTGCGTTTGGAAGGAAGAATGATAGTAATATGTCATAAGGGGTGTCCAAGGTGGAGAGAAAAGGACCTCTAACATATGGTCTGCAATGGCAGCCCCACAGCCTGTGCTGCCCAGGAGTAGGAGGTGGACAGAAAAGCCCCTGGAACTGACAGCCATAGCTCCAGCAGGGCAAGGGCCTAAAAAGAGCGCCCCTGGGGGCCAGAGCAGGAAGGCAAGCCTCTCCCACCTCAACCTGCTCTGGTTAGCACTCACTGGCCAGAAGAGTGGTTGTTCTGCCTACCTGCCCTGGCACAGCTGGGCCTGGGGGTTAGACTCTAGCCTACTCTTCATATGAGGCCCAGTATTAGAATGTTCCCCCAAACTCTTCTGTTCAGAGGTGGGGCTTTGAGAAGATAGTTGGATCATGGGGGTGCTGTAGTCATCAGCAGATTCATCCTCTGATGAATTCATAGCTGAATATGCTGATAGGAGGTAGGGCTTGGCTGGAGGTGAGGCACTGGGCAAGATCTGGAAGACTGTGTTCTTGTCTCCGGCTCTTCCCTTTCTCTCTGCATGAAGGCCTCCATCATGTGAGCAGCTTTCCTCCTTGCCCCTTCCGCCTTGGAGCGAGCCAACCATAGACTAAACCTACTGAAACTATAAAGGAAATAAACCTCTCTTCTGTTAACTGAGGGGTATTGGGTATTTTGTCCCAGTAATAGGAAGCTAACAAATACACCCAGCTTATGCCATTGTTTGGGAGGCCCTGAGAATCATCACTCAGTCAAGAAATCAGGGCTCTTTCTGCAGGCCCTCCTTTTTCCCCTCCCTCCTCCCTTCCTTTGAGTGAAGTAAGGACTAGTGAGGGGAACACAGGAATGAGAAAATCTGCAAAGGCTGAGCTGTTGGAAACATTTGGCAGAAGCATCTGGAGCAGAGGGAGGGGCGGTCCAGGCTAGGAGTTCCCAGGGGCTGCCCCCAGCCAGGAAGTGAATGGGCTGAAGCTCCTGAATGGCTGTCCGGAGACCTGTAGCCACTGGGAGAAAGGCCAGGCCAGCTGCACGTGCCCAGACTGGGCCAGGCCCCCAGATGCTGGGGCTGAAGCCAGAACAATGGAACTCCCCGTGCTTGGACCCCATCCAGCGAGGTTCACATTTTCTGTGGAAACAGTGCTCACGAGAATTGGCAGGGAGAGGAGAGAGCTGGAGGCCCAGTTTCCCCTGGCGCCAGCTGAAATGTGGCTGGATGACACACAGGCCACACAGCCCACCCAGTGCCCAGCTCCCCACTGACACCTGGCTACTGCTCCTGAGCTACAGAAAAGCCACAGGAGCATTGCTTCCAATCTGGCTGTGAGGATGCAGGTCTGTGGCCCTGCAGGATAGGAGAGACGCCAGCCAGCAGGGTCCCTGAGAGGCTGCAAAGTCAGCCAAACACAGCTCTGGCCAGAGATGACGTGAGCATCTCTTGTTCCCTTGGAGTCACCCGGCCAACAGCCTCACCTCTCCAGAAAGCCAGTGGGACTCAGGAAATCTTCAGGGCCTCTGAGTCACCAAGAACACTGTCCCCAGCCCCAGAGCTCCCTCTGAGTGTCTCACTCAGAGCTTCCCTTGAGCTCAGGACTAATCCAAGGCAGTAGCCCAAGGGAGGTGACAAAGGGTTGATGAGAACAGCGATGGCCAGAAAAGAGCCTGGGCCTCCATCAGAAGGGGTTAAAGCAGTGCCCTCTGGTGTGAGATAGTTACCACATCCCCTACCCCCAGCTGCCACTCAGCCTGCTGCTCCCCTGTGGGTTGATTTTTGAGGCAAGTTTTTGCTAAGTAATCCAGGGTGGCCTTGAACTCACTATGTACCTCGTGCTAACCCTGAAATTTCAATCCTCCTGCTTCAACCTCCTGAATGCTGGAATGACAGGCATGTGTCCCCCTTGCCAACCTAGAAATAACTACTGTTGATATTTGATGAACAGCACTGCTGACACTCTGTATTTACTATGAATGGATGGAGGAAGGGTGGATGTATGCATGGATGGCTGGATGGCTTCTGACTGCCTCAGTGGACAGATGATGAATGGAAGGATGGGCAGGTGGGCAGACGGATGAATGGGTGAGTGAATGGAGGAATGGATGGACAGGCCAGTGTGGGTAGATAGATGGATGAGAGGGAGGGAAGGGAGGAAAGGAGGACAAGCAGAACAATACTA